CCATACATGAAGAATTAACAAAAATGGATATGTGGTGCGACACCTGGAGACTTGAGTTTAATGTCGAAAAGTGTGGCTGGCTCTGCATAGGCTGTCCCAACCTAGAACTCGACCTAGCAATTCAGGGCCACAAAATCCCTAGACTCAAATCTGTGCTAGACCTAGGACTGAAATATTCACACAATCTATCATTTTCTGAACATATCTCGAAACAAGTATCGAAATCACACAGGCTTATGGGTTTCCTACTCAGGAACATCTACAGAAGTGAATCCAGAATACTACTGTACAAGGTTTGTGTGCGCCCACTCCTAGACTATTGTTCACTCATATTTAGTAGTATACGCATAGAAGACAAACTAAAAGTAGAAGGAGTGCAGAGGTACTTCACGCTAAAAGTACTCGGAACCGAAAACAGCACAAACTACGCCACCAGATGTGAAATTCTAGGACTAGAAACATTATGGTTAAGACGACTCCGACTAAATCTGGTACTCTTCTATAAACTACTTAACCACATAGTGTATACCCCCACTAATTGTACTCGGTTTTCAGAAGACACTGGATACAACCTTAGACACACTAAAGGTACGGTGGCTATAGAACAATGTAAAACAGTCACCAGGCAAAATTTTTTCATGATTAGGTATGCCCAAATATGGAACAAACTACCTGAGGAAATGCTCACTGGTGTCCTTTGTAAAAGCTCTTAATGACACACTAAGTGGGTTTGCAAGTGATACCAGTGCTAATTCCCATGTAAGAGCTTCAGAAATTATAGGCCCATTTAATGTATGAACTTAGAGACTACACCTGTTGTTTCTTTTGCCTTTATCTATAATTTCAGACAAAAAAGCAGCAGTCATGACAATAACACCCATACAAATAAGAGTCGATCGAATTATGTCTACCTGATACAAAGCGTGAACCATAAACAACATACGAATGAAATATAAGAAAACAAGGTCGAGACTTACCACTGTAACGACAGAAGGCAAGAGTCAGGCAACAGATCATTTATTAAGGAAATCAACGCATATTTATATATTTGCATGTACATTACTATGGATATTTAAGCAAACAAACACAGTCTTCCGATTGGTTGTTTCTCACGTAAAGTTAATCTTTCATCCATTTGTGACTGTTTCTTGAATGTCAAATCCTCTATATGTTAACTGCATCCGCCTACGCAAAGTCTGCTGTGGGCGGTTTTCAATAAATCTTTGTTCACATTTTCTCACGACAAATCTTGGGAACGTAAATATTGACGTAAATTACTGTCTACCAATTTGGCTAGTAGACAGCTCTCACCACAACACAACATCACATGGAAGGATATAAGTTACTTGGAAATCATTTATAATCCACCAACTGGTCTCCTTTCCAAAAGGAATGCGACGATATTTTATCCACAGTGGTGAGGAAATACATAAATCCACAGTTCCCGTTGTATACACTCAGTGGAGATTGCAGCCAACAAAGTAATGCATTTAAAGCATATGCATACTTCCCATCATCACGGCGACACTGCAGAATATGTCAAAATAGCAGAGTAATGAAACCCAACACGCGATGTAATTAGCTAAATCCGAAAGGCAAACAAGTTGTAGTACGTATTTGAATATTCATCCATATGTCAATCATGATGACAGATACAAATCACTACCTATACCGCGCCAATACACTTGGATATCTATGAAATGACGAAAATATGCTGACAGCTGCATTTCAGATCCCAATGACTCACTCGATAGCAAAATTCTGCTCCTGCATGCCTCTTTTGACATTTTTGTATGGATTGGTTCGCAGTTACTCAGGTTCCAGACCGAAAAAAAAAATTCACCAGTTGCTGAATTATGATTACTTCTCTGTATGTTTAGCTGGATAATAACTGCTGTGGTGAGCCTTTTGCAGATTATATTGCTTAAAACATCGTTTACGGTAAACTAACTAACGTTTTATAAGCCATTTTTATACTTTTGTGACTAGCCCACCATATCGACCGAATGTAACGCAACACTTAGTTGTTCCACTCATGTTCAACAAATTCAAACAATAATTGTGCCTATTATTATGCCATATAAACTGTTTTAACTTATGCAGAGTGTACTTACGGTCAATATTTCGTTATCTTCTCTTGTATATATATTTTGTGTTAGTGAAAAAATTTTAAACATGTTTACTCCATGTGTGCATTATTATGATATTGATGATGCATGTCAACTGGAGCCCCTCAAGTGCATAAAGTGGGAACATATTATTGTAAGGCGCATTTTATTGTCTTATGAGGGAATTGACTTCAAGCTTTATTTATTTTCCCAAGTATATGCAATCCATCCAACGCATACATGGGTTTTTTTGTTAATGCGAAGTCAATATCTCTATATTTCTTGGTGTGTTCCATTGAATCACCACAAACTAAAGATAAAATGACAGCAACCATGTTATTTAACCGTAATCCATGTAATCTAAATATGTAACTTAAATAATACTTATCCATTCCTATACAACTTGTGTGTCCTACATTTGTAGGAATATATACGTACCTTATTATACTATCATTACTAACTATACTTGCAAATCGTATGTGTAATTTATTGAAGTGATGATGCCTGTAAACTGGCGTCCGTCATGTAAAAAAAATGAGAATATACTATTATTATTATATGAAAAAATGGTAGCACGGAAATGGTAGTCTTGTTACTTAGAATATTTGCTCTCTCGTTGGAAACTGGAATTTATCCTGAAGTGTGGAAAACCACATACAGATTACCTAAGCACATACCAGGGGCCAAAACCAGTGCGTACAACTATAGGCCTATCAATATAACACCGGCGATATCACGAATAATGGAGAAAGTGGTTAAAGACCAAGTGTCAGACAACTTACTAGAACATGAACTTATCAATCTTCAACGCTGAAACTTGCCCGGTACGTTCGAACCAGGTGACGCTTTTTGCACGTGTTTTCGTTTATATTCATTTATTGCTTACTGTTGATCGATCTTTAATAACGATGGGCCGAAATTCTAAAAGGAGTGTTCGTGTGAACACCAGTAATTTAGAAAATAGCACCAGCTCGTCTAATAACACATTACCACCCCTTATTATTAGTAGTTCACCCAACGTAAAAGACTCGAACATAACTCTGACCCCTGTAATACAGGTGGAAGATGTTCTGTCTGAAAAAGTAGAGCTCTCTTACTTAACATGCATTATTAAAGAGATGCAGCTACAGATTGATGAATTAAAAACGAAATTAAGTTCATTTGAATGTATACCCGAAACTGTCTCACTTATGAAAAAGGAACTGCAGGATCCTACAATCCTAAGGCTTTTTAATATGACCTCTAGAATGACGCCTACTGACTCAGAAAATGCGAAGGAGTTAGAAAACGCCATTGACTTTCTATCCAGCGAAGTTGTTAAAAGGCTGGCTTCGAAACAAAACGCTATAGTGTATAATGTACCAGATAGCGAGCCCATTAAGTCGGTCCGGCACTCATTGCTGAAGGCTGCAAATCTCTTGAGTGCACCTTGTCAGTGCATTCGCCTAAGTAAAAAAGACCTAAAGCATCCCTGTCCTATACTCTTTAGGTTCGACAGCTACATAATAGCTGAACGATTTAAGAAGGCCGAAGATCTTCTGGCTACTGCCACTAAATTCAAGACTATTAAAGTAGTCTCGGATAAAACAACTAACCAAAGGCAAGCAACCAAGAACTCCTTCGATAGAAAGTTGACCACACCGAGAACTACACCTGGTATCAGTGCTAAAGTGTCGACGGACACTGAAGCACAGCAAGTCACCTGTATAGTGTTGGAAAAAAAATCGGCAAGTAAAAGCGACTCGAAACTCAGTAAGAGCAGTGTCACTGGGTGCAATCCTAAAGTACATGAGAGCACATCTGGAAAATCTGCTGACATACATGAGGTTGATATTGACTCACAAACTATGTCTGACCAGAAACCACTGGCAGACCACACTACTTACTGGTTTAGTCCTTGAGATTATCGAGCCAACTTTCGTTGTCTGACTTCAGCCACAGAGAAATGATTTTATCCAGCTCAGGAGAGGGTCACATATCCCTAGTGAGCATAACCTGCTGACTAGCAGATTATGGGGAATTCTGTCGAAGGCTTTTGTTATGTCGAAATATGGCACAATTACTAGTTCTCTATTGTCCCTACTTCGTGTAAATTCGTCAAAAAAGTCTACGTGACAGGTCACACATGATCTCATTTTGAGGAATCCATGTTGTGATGGATTGATAAGTTCATGTTCTAGTAAGTTGTCTGACACTTGGTCTTTAACCACTTTCTCCATTATTCGTGGTATCGCCGGTGTTATATTGATAGGCCTATAGTTGTACGCACTGGTTTTGGCCCCTGGTATGTGCTTAGGTAATCTGTATGTGGTTTTCCACACTTCAGGATAAATTCCAGTTTCCAACGAGAGAGCAAATATTCTAAGTAACAAGACTACCATTTCCGTGCTACCATTTTTTCATATAATAATAATAGTATATTCTCATTTTTTTTACATGACGGACGCCAGTTTACAGGCATCATCACTTCAATAAATTACACATACGATTTGCAAGTATAGTTAGTAATGATAGTATAATAAGGTACGTATATATTCCTACAAATGTAGGACACACAAGTTGTATAGGAATGGATAAGTATTATTTAAGTTACATATTTAGATTACATGGATTACGGTTAAATAACATGGTTGCTGTCATTTTATCTTTAGTTTGTGGTGATTCAATGGAACACACCAAGAAATATAGAGATATTGACTTCGCATTAACAAAAAAACCCATGTATGCGTTGGATGGATTGCATATACTTGGGAAAATAAATAAAGCTTGAAGTCAATTCCCTCATAAGACAATAAAATGCGCCTTACAATAATATGTTCCCACTTTATGCACTTGAGGGGCTCCAGTTGACATGCATCATCAATATCATAATAATGCACACATGGAGTAAACATGTTTAAAATTTTTTCACTAACACAAAATATATATACAAGAGAAGATAACGAAATATTGACCGTAAGTACACTCTGCATAAGTTAAAACAGTTTATATGGCATAATAATAGGCACAATTATTGTTTGAATTTGTTGAACATGAGTGGAACAACTAAGTGTTGCGTTACATTCGGTCGATATGGTGGGCTAGTCACAAAAGTATAAAAATGGCTTATAAAACGTTAGTTAGTTTACCGTAAACGATGTTTTAAGCAATATAATCTGCAAAAGGCTCACCACAGCAGTTATTATCCAGCTAAACATACAGAGAAGTAATCATAATTCAGCAACTGGTGAATTTTTTTTTTCGGTCTGGAACCTGAGTAACTGCGAACCAATCCATACAAAAATGTCAAAAGAGGCATGCAGGAGCAGAATTTTGCTATCGAGTGAGTCATTGGGATCTGAAATGCAGCTGTCAGCATATTTTCGTCATTTCATAGATATCCAAGTGTATTGGCGCGGTATAGGTAGTGATTTGTATCTGTCATCATGATTGACATATGGATGAATATTCAAATACGTACTACAACTTGTTTGCCTTTCGGATTTAGCTAATTACATCGCGTGTTGGGTTTCATTACTCTGCTATTTTGACATATTCTGCAGTGTCGCCGTGATGATGGGAAGTATGCATATGCTTTAAATGCATTACTTTGTTGGCTGCAATCTCCACTGAGTGTATACAACGGGAACTGTGGATTTATGTATTTCCTCACCACTGTGGATAAAATATCGTCGCATTCCTTTTGGAAAGGAGACCAGTTGGTGGATTATAAATGATTTCCAAGTAACTTATATCCTTCCATGTGATGTTGTGTTGTGGTGAGAGCTGTCTACTAGCCAAATTGGTAGACAGTAATTTACGTCAATATTTACGTTCCCAAGATTTGTCGTGAGAAAATGTGAACAAAGATTTATTGAAAACCGCCCACAGCAGACTTTGCGTAGGCGGATGCAGTTAACATATAGAGGATTTGACATTCAAGAAACAGTCACAAATGGATGAAAGATTAACTTTACGTGAGAAACAACCAATCGGAAGACTGTGTTTGTTTGCTTAAATATCCATAGTAATGTACATGCAAATATATAAATATGCGTTGATTTCCTTAATAAATGATCTGTTGCCTGACTCTTGCCTTCTGTCGTTACAGTGGTAAGTCTCGACCTTGTTTTCTTATATTTCATTCGTATGTTGTTTATGGTTCACGCTTTGTATCAGGTAGACATAATTCGATCGACTCTTATTTGTATGGGTGTTATTGTCATGACTGCTGCTTTTTTGTCTGAAATTATAGATAAAGGCAAAAGAAACAACAGGTGTAGTCTCTAAGTTCATACATTAAATGGGCCTATAATTTCTGAAGCTCTTACATGGGAATTAGCACTGGTATCACTTGCAAACCCACTTAGTGTGTCATTAAGAGCTTTTACAAAGGACACCAGTGAGCATTTCCTCAGGTAGTTTGTTCCATATTTGGGCATACCTAATCATGAAAAAATTTTGCCTGGTGACTGTTTTACATTGTTCTATAGCCACCGTACCTTTAGTGTGTCTAAGGTTGTATCCAGTGTCTTCTGAAAACCGAGTACAATTAGTGGGGGTATACACTATGTGGTTAAGTAGTTTATAGAAGAGTACCAGATTTAGTCGGAGTCGTCTTAACCATAATGTTTCTAGTCCTAGAATTTCACATCTGGTGGCGTAGTTTGTGCTGTTTTCGGTTCCGAGTACTTTTAGCGTGAAGTACCTCTGCACTCCTTCTACTTTTAGTTTGTCTTCTATGCGTATACTACTAAATATGAGTGAACAATAGTCTAGGAGTGGGCGCACACAAACCTTGTACAGTAGTATTCTGGATTCACTTCTGTAGATGTTCCTGAGTAGGAAACCCATAAGCCTGTGTGATTTCGATACTTGTTTCGAGATATGTTCAGAAAATGATAGATTGTGTGAATATTTCAGTCCTAGGTCTAGCACAGATTTGAGTCTAGGGATTTTGTGGCCCTGAATTGCTAGGTCGAGTTCTAGGTTGGGACAGCCTATGCAGAGCCAGCCACACTTTTCGACATTAAACTCAAGTCTCCAGGTGTCGCACCACATATCCATTTTTGTTAATTCTTCATGTATGGAGTTCATAGTTGTACCAATATCTGTGTTTGTGCAGGTATATGTCACCTTTAAGTCATCTGCATACAGTATTGGCTTGCCTATACTAAAGCACTCACATATACTGTTTATGTATATAATGAAAAGAAGGGGTCCCAATACACTCCCCTGGATGACACCACTGCTAATCGGCCTAGGCCTGGAGGTCATCGAGCCAATTTTTGTTGTCTGATTTCTGTCACTGAGAAATGATTTTATCCAGTTGTGGAGGGGATTGCGTATCCCTAGTGAGCATAGCCTGCTGACTAACAGACTATGTGGGACTCTGTCGAAGGCTTTCCTGATATCGAAATAGAGGATAATTACTAGTTCTCTCCTATCTCTGCTATAGGTGACTTCGTTGAAAAAGTCTATATGGCAAGTGACGCAAGATCTTTTCTTAAGGAATCCGTGTTGCGACTGGTTGATGAGTTTGTGTTTTAGAAAGTAGTCTGACATTTGGTCTTTTATTACTTTCTCCATGATCCTTGATATGACAGGTGTTAAATTGATAGGCCTATAATTACATGCACTAGTTTTGGCCCCTCCTTTATGCTTAGGTAGTATATACGTGTTTTTCCAAGTTTCAGGGTAGGTCCCAGTCACTAGTGAGAGGGTGAATATTCTAAGTAATAGTACTATCATATCCGAGCCACCGTTTTTGTATATGACAGATGGTATATCATCTACCCCACAACTACCGTTAGCTTTTAATGTCTTTACCGCTGATGCTATATTTTGTATATTAAAGTTGATTTCACCTAACTCATAGTTATTTTTGCAGGTTATATCGAGGATTGGAGATGGATGCGCTTTGGTGTTATTGGAGAACCATTGGTTTAGGAGTTCACAAATAATCTGGGGATCATAAATTATACCTTCATACTCCAAGTGGTCAACATTATTTTCTTTACCCTTATTTAGTCGTTTTTGCAAGATCTTGCAGAGTTCCTGAGTTTTAGAGGTGCCCCCTAGGGCTTCATTTTCCTCGAGCTGTGCCTTCATTTTATGTCTCTCCTCAAGATTTTTAAATGTTTCATGTATCTGGTGTAATGCACTAAATTCTTTATATAAATAAAATTTCCTTAGTTTTAATCGCGTTTTGCGGTCTATGAATAGAGTTGGTGTCTTTAAGGCAGATTTTAGGGGTGCGATTGTATCTCTTACCGAACTGACTGTCTTGTAGAGGGTATCAAGTGTTACCTCTAAGTTATCATTGGTAAAGTATTGGTAAAGTATGACAGATGGTATGTCGTCTGTTCCAGTACTACCATTAGACTTCAATGTCCTAATCGCAGAGTCTATATTTTGTATATTAAAGTGTATTTCGCCTAATTTGTGGTTACTTTTGCAGGTCATTTGAAAATTTGGGGTCGGGTGCACTCTGGTGTCATTGCAAAACCACTCACTGAGGAGTTCACTTATAACCTGTGGATCATTGTATATTATACCCTTATGTTCCAAGCTTCTTACAGTATTATCTTTACTGCTTTTTAGACGTTTCTGCAATATCCAACAAAGTTCCTGAGTTTTGGAGTTGCCAACAAGCGCTTTATTTTCTTCAAGTTGTGACATCATTTTGTGTTTCTCTTCAAGCAGTTGAAGAGTTTCATGTATTTGGTTTAACGCATTAAAAAATAAAAAATATTTTTATTATTCCTTAAATACATGGTATTTCTTTTCCAATTTCTTTAGTTTTAGTCGCGTTTTGCGATCTATAAATGGAGTTGGTGTCTTTAGAGCAGATTTTAGGTGTGCGATTGTGTCTCTTGCTGAGCCAATTGTTTTGTAGAAACTCTCAAGTGATACTTCTAAGTTGTTGTTGATGAAGTATTCTTCCCAGTCATAACTTCTCAACAGCTCTGATAGGAATACCCAGTCAGCATTCTTATAGTCCCTATATTGATAGTGCACCGGGGAGTTTTTAGGTGTGTATTTAGTTGTTATTCGGAGGGGCAGCGTGCAGTACAGTATGTTGTGATCACTGTTATCGAGTTTATTTCCCACATCTATCAGGATGGGCTCTATTTTATAACAGAGGATTAAATCAAGAGTATGTTTGTTTCTTATAGGAAGGCGTACGCACTGCTTCCATCCGCCTACGTCTATAGCTTGTAGTAGCTCGTCATGGATTCTAGGTCCTGTACAGGTATCCCAGTTTACACCAGGTAAGTTGGAATCGCCACAGACTACTTTGTAGTCGAAGTCCAGCGTAGCTACATGCTGTGGTATTTCTCCAATAGTTATATCAGTCATTTCAGGGCCATTAGGGGGTCTGTATATACATCCCACGAGAATTTTATTTCCGTTTGTGTGGATACTTATCCACTTATATTCCGGGAGTTTGTCAGTAGTTGGGTCATTGAAAGTATTGGAGTTAGTGGATTTAGAGGCATATATTAGGCAACCGCCTCCTCTTTTGTCAACTCTACCGTTCCTATATATGTCGTACTTGTCTATTACTAGCTTTGTGTCAGGTATATCAGTAGTAAGCCAGGTTTCGGTCACCACTAATAGTGTTGGCCGTTCCATGTATGCCAGAGAGCGAAGCGATGTAATTTAATTATGAAGAGATCTAGCATTCAGTAGCACAATCGTTAGTAAACCAGAGTTATTGGGGGAGAGGTTAACATAGTTCCTTGTTACTATCCCTACGTTATGTTTGGAGGGGCTGTGAGGTGAGACAGAGTCAGCGTGTGTACTACTTCCTGGATGAATTGTGCAGCGAGTGGGGCTATTGTTTGCTGCAGCCGAAAATAATCCTGTTGCATATTTTGACCTTTAGCATCCATGGGTGGGCATCTGCGTTCATTTACTGGTGATATGTAGTTTGCCTTGCAATTTGCGTTGCAGTTTTGCTGGACCCAGGTACCCTATGTTAAGATCACCTTGGTAGTTGTACCTCATGGGGCTTCCATAGTTGTATGCATATTGGCTCACATCACGTGTATGAGTGAAGTTATTGGGGGGATCAAGTGTCGATCTATACTCATTATGTTGATGAGGTCTAACATAGATAGTGCGAGAGTTTGGACGAGAATTTTCATTAATATGGTGCCTATATGAGTCCTGTTTATCTCTCCGTATATGTGGTATATATATATTTATTTCCTGTTTATGCAGGAACATACCAATTGTAAAGGCATGGATAAATTATTATATAAATTACACATATTTCGATGTAATGTGAATTTACAGTTTGTTTGTTCTTTCTGACATTAGAGTCATTCGGAACAGTCTGCTAAATAGTGTGTCTGTTTAACACATAATGAGATAAAGAAATATTGTCTTCGCATCAGCAAAATCCCAGACATCAGATGAATGTAATACAAACATCTGGGAAAAATAAAGCTTGAAGTCAATCTTTACGTCGTTGGTGTATAGAAGAGCCGAGCAGCTTAGACGGCATGGTAAGTCGTTGACAAAAATGAAAATATCAGTAGTCTTAGGATAGAGCCCTTCGACACTCTCGATGGCGAATTGTGCCAGGATGATAGGACTCAATTGACCTTGGAGCAGAATCTCGTTTCAGCTAGTTAGTCCTTTCGATGTCTAACACTTTTTCGTCCGGCTTCTATAAATTTCATGATTTCTTGGTGTTCGCTTCTTGGTATTTCGAAACAGTTCCCGTTCTTCAGTTGATTCCAGTTTTGCTGTATGTAAAAGAGTAAGTACGTTGGTTTATATAATTTGTATCGTGGTGTTGGTGGGACGGGAGCATGTCGTTGCACTGGTTCCTTAGTTCCAGGCTTGCAGTGTGGTCGTTCTGGCACTTAGATATTCGCCACCTAGACCAAGCCCTCCACTTTACTTGAAGAATACGTTGCGTACCTCTCTTCAGCCATGAGAACGATTTCTCAGCTGTGTTGTGACTAGAAGGACGATATCCGAGGTCGCTGTGTGAATAATCTCTTTTACCACTTCCCGGTGTTCATCCACAGATAACTTATCCCATACTAACGCCGTTCTGAGTCAGGCAAAAGCCTTCGCATTCCAGCATAGTTCCCCTCGTTATAGCACAGACACGGTCGCGTAGCGTCCCACTGTTAGCGTTAACAGGGAATTAGATCGGATCCTATGACTGCGTGGCCACTACTCCTTAGGTGGTCATGCTTTAAACACCTAGTGTTGTCTCCAACATTCCCAATCAGTCCTGTATTTCTAATGGTTTGCAGTAGATTTCTAACGAATATTTCCTTTATATATAAACCTCTGTTATGTTAATTTCGATTAATTTCCCTCAAGAAGTTGGGACCAGATTGCCGAACGAAACGTTGGAATTAATTATTTCAATTTCGCTGAGATATTACAAATATAATTTTATAAATGTCTACTTCTCGCTCAGCGCTCAATTATTTTGCAACTATCCGGTCAAATCTTGATCACAATTCATATGAATTCCCTGAGCAGTCCTACATAGATAGGAATAAATATGTATTATTATACCCGAAGTCAAGGTCCAGAGACAGAGCATTGAAATCTCCAGCTATGGTGATTCGGTCATAGCCGTAATCCCATATCCCTATAATGGTGCTGATTAGCAACTGGTTGGGCTCTACCCAACAGTTGGGTGATCGGTGGACGCCACCCAGTAAATGCTTGGTGTGGCCTACGGTGAAATGACACCATCTGGAATCTGGGAGTTCAGTTAGGGATGAGTCCGTTGTACGCAAACATTTAAGTTGCCTGCTGAAGTATGTGACAACTCCGCCTTCCTTGTTATCCCTGTTTCTCCTGACCAGAACCATACCACTTATACTGATTTCGTTGTCAGCATTGGTGGGGGTTAGCCAGGTTTCAGTGAGGATTATTATTTAAACGTTTGGGTGTGACTGGAGGTTTCTGAGTCTACCTAACTTCCCTCTCAGCTCTCTCACACTACCACGCGGGAAACTAATTGTGAGTCTCACAACCTAGGTGTGTTGTGTAGTAGTTGGCGCTAGGTTGTCTGCTGGTGGAGGCTTTGATATTGGGATTAGATGTTCGATTCAGATGGAACCTACCTGTTCCCTCGATTTGGGTGACACTGGCTGTCACTCAGTACCGCATCGCTCTGGTGTCATTGAATCTTGGGGACGTACTGAGACCTCGGCTTGCTGCCTCCTTATGGTTCGAGGTCTGCATTCTCAGCCGTGGATGTGTTCCTGAGAATTGAATTTGAAACTTAGCAGCCCTAATGAGCTAATCAATGTCGGGCTGAGGCAACTGGAGAACAAAGGTTGTTCCAGAAGCATCAAGGGCCAGCTGAAATCACAGCCATCTCCATTGCTGTACGTCATGCATGTGTTTCCCACGAGCAGTGCCAGTTTCCGGCTCCGGAATACGGTGTATGACCATGGGGGTAGAGGGCATCAGTTCCGGTGGCTCCCTCGCCATTTGCCTGTTAGCCCCTGGCCTATCGTGTCTTATTCGTATGCTGGAAGTCCTGTCAATGGCTAATACTTGAGCCAGAACAGTGCTCTTTCAGCCTTTTAAGAAGAGCCTGGTGTCAACCTTAACGGAGATGACTTACTTTGAGGTGCCTGAACACCCCTTTATAGCCTGCACAATTTCGCATAAGTTGAACCACTGTCTTTGATCAAAAAGTGCCTATTGTTCAAGTGAGCTATAATTGCACACGAGTAAATGAAACAGGATAAAGGAATTCGATAGACTGACCTCAAACTTAGGTTCGGTCTATGGCTGCTCGTGCTCCTTTGTAGAGTTGGTCGCTTTAAATTTCATCAGTGTCTGACAAGTCTTTGGTATGTTGTCATACTTACTAGCAGATCAAAGTGGTGCTTCCTCTGCTGTTCTGTGTGTAACCTCGGGAATCTTCAGTTTATTAGGATTGGTACTTGCAGTCGGTTGGGCTGGAGTATCCTTTAAACAGTATTTATTAAGTTTTAGTGGTGTGGTGTTGTAAGGTGAGATTGTATCAAGACACAGAAGTGGTGTGCTGTTTCTGCTTCTCGGAGCCACGCTTTGTGAGACTGTGCCAGAGTGTCAAAGTGGGCAAATGTACCAGAACCGTTGGCACGAGCTACTTCGCATAAACTCATAATAGGGTTGTGGCACTTCTTTGTCACAATGGCAGTGCACGCATCGTTTGCAGAGATTGCATTCAAATGATGAGTTGGATTTAGAAACAGCAATACCACAGGCTCGGCATTCGTCTCCTTTCTAGACGACGCTTTCGAGGCCTTATGACGTCTTGAGCGTTTCTCTTTTGTTTCGCTGTGCGTCACACACAGGCTTCTGACGGATAAAGGTGTGGTTTCATGTTCACTTGGTTTTGCCTGTGCAGTTTCAGTATTGGACTGTGGCGATGTAGGCATAGTATCAGAGCAGGGGACATGTACATAAGTCTTTAGAATCAGTATGCGAGATAGGGTTAATATCCCTGGGTACTGCTGCTTCTGGCTGAAGCCCTTGTCACTACGGAATATGGTGTTTGAGTGCTTTTGTAGGCCGATTTCAACAGCCATATTAACAATTACTATAACTTCGGCTGATTTATGAATAAGAGAAAGCAACAGGACTTTCATTGGACACTAGTAACTAGTGCAATGTGTCTAGTCCTTTCTTTGGTGCAGAATGAATTCTATCAGCCCGGTTCGCAATGTGGCCGCCACTCTATGGAAATGAGTTTTTTCAAGGTTGCCGATACACCTTGATGACGAGTGTCAACTAGCTCGAAACTTGAGTTCAGGGCTTCCTGCAGATTGCCTTCAACCATCTAATCTCATCAGGTAGCAACAGTATCTACCCAATAGAACAAGGACAAAAAGATTGATAAAGTACAAGATGAGGAAAAGAAAATTATTCTGACTTCACCCAGTACTTTTCGGTTACTAGACTTCAGTGCAATCACGTGGCAGACCAACAAGTCTTGTTTATCTGAACGAGTGAGGAAGGTGCTGTTTCAGATGTAGCACCTGAAGCTTTGGCAGTAGTTCGAGACAGTTGAACTAACCACACAAAGAGTTAATGTAAAATAAGTGATAGAACTTAGTCCACCTGGTAGGAAGATCAGGTTTCTCAATCAGATAATCCCAAAATAGGTATTTTCCATTTAGAGAGGAAAAAGCACATCGTATTCAGGGAGCGCGCACAATCAGGAGAGGAGAGGAAGTTCCACCAAAACCAAGGAGATAAGAGACCCGAAATATAAAAACGACGACTTACGCTGAATTAGCACCAGAAATCTGATAGAAAATTAGCCTTAAATGGACTGACTTA